GAGAGAGAAAATGGAAGACTAAAATTCATTGAATTCCAACGATTCATATTAATCGATAAATAAAAATTCTGTGCACGTAAATATGTATGTATGTGAAGTATCCTTTTCTCCCTCTGTCTCTCTCTCTCTCTCTCTCTCTCTCTCTCTCTCTCTCTCTCTTTCTCTCTCTCTCTCACTCTCTCTTATTTTTTGTTCTATTTTTGTTTTTTATTTCATTTTTAATTGGACGAAATCAATGACTCGTCGAGAACTTGAAATTTGTTGAAAATAAATCAAGTATTATAGAGAAACTCGTGCGATTATTGTAACTCGTGACTAACTAAGTTTCCTTTTGAATTTTTATTTTTATTTCAACGTGTCGTTGAGTTTGAAAAAAACGTCAGTTTTTCAAAATAAATAAATAATGTCTATATTCGTGAATTTAAATAATATATATTAATTCGATGATAATATTCGTTTTATCGATTTACTCGAACGATATCATTAGGAATATGAAATAAAATTGATATTTTTTTTTATTAATGCGAATGCTATGTCAGAAAGTGATAACAGAATATACGTACTTCGATAGATATGTTCATTAGAAAGAAAAAGAAAAAAATATGTGTGTGTGTGTGTGTACGTGCGTGTGTGTGTTCGTGTGTGTACGAAAATTATGATGTTTAATAACAAATGTATTTTCCAATGAATATTGAATAATCGTAATGTCCAAAATTAATAGAGTTTTAATGAAAAAATCAAATTGATTGGGATTTAACGAAGTATATAAAATGACATAAAAAATAAACGATTTATACGAAATATAATAGATTTGACAATTTTTCTCTAAAATAAAAATTAATCCACATATTTGTGTATTCACGAAATGATCATACTTTATCAAAACAAGAAAAAAATAAAAAGGAATGAGGAAATGAGAGAGAGAGAGAGAGAGAGAGAGAGAGAGAGAGGGAGAGAGAGAAATTATAAAATCAAGTGATCTATAAAAAATAAAAATCTTACACCAATGATAATCGACGGAACTATAACATTCATAATCGACGATCTATACCGTCGATCATTCTTCAGCGAATGAAATCAATCCGATTGAATGAATGAAACCAATTATTTAATAGTACTTCAATTATCCATGATAAATAAATATCAAAACAAAAGGGAAAATATAAAATTGATTAAAAAAAAAAAAAAAAAAAAGTAAAAAAAAAAAAGAAAAAACTACGCGTTCGTTTGAATTATAAAAACTTACTTTCTACTTTGTTTTATATTTTTTTTTTCCTTTCTTTTTTTTTCTTTTTTTTTCTTTTTTTTCTTTTTTTACCTTTAATATCACACCGTGTGCTTTCTCGAAATTCGCATTTAACGGCTAATCGTTCTCGTGGAAAGGTATGCGAAATTGACAAAAAAGAAAAAAAAGAAAAAAAAAAAAGGAACAAAGGGGTAGTGAAGGAAAGAAAGGAGAAAAGAAAGGAAAAGGAAAAAGACGATAAAGATAGACAAGGACGGAGGATAGGAAAAAAAGAAGAAAAAAAGAGAAAGATGGTAGAGAGAGAGAGAGAGAGAGAGAGAGAGAGAGAGAGAGAGACATGAGAGGTAGAGGTAGAGGTAGACGTTAGTTTTGTCGAGGGAACATACTCTCTCTTCCGCGTAGGGCCGTTTATTCGACGTCGATGGGTTAAATCGTGCGTGACGATGAATGTCACCTCCTCCACCAACACCACCATCAATATCAGCTTCACCATCACCATCACCATCACCATCACCAGTACCTTCACCATCACCATCACCAGTACCTTCACCATCACCTTCGCTACCTTCACCCAATCGCTATTACCACCTCAGTGGCAGGTCTCGAATCGAAACGAGAAGCGAAGCGTATCTCACTTCGGGAAAGGACCGAAACAGGACGGAAGGGGTGAGAGTGGGGATGCGGAGTGAAATTTTTCAAACACGCTACGAATTTTTCCTCTTATGCTCTATACTATCCGTCTACCCCCGCCCCTCTGCCGCGGATTTCTCTTCAGATCGACAACGACGACGACCACTCCCCTATCCCTTTCCTCGTCACTTCCTCGCTCACTTTTTTTCCCTATACTACGACACGACCCTTTACCCTACCTACCTACCTTCTACTAACCACCCACCTATCCTCCTTCTACCCTTCTCCCCTCCTTCCTTCCTACTCTCGACATTCTCTGAACGGTGCATTATTTCCGGAGTACCGGACGACGATGCTCCTACTCTCTCCCTCTCTCCCCCTCTCTCCCTCTCTCTCTCTCTATCCTTCTCTCAAGCGGTGCATTAATTGACTATAAATTCGGTCTCAACGCATTAATTCGCCTATCTCGAGCAGCTTCCCGTCTACGCCATCTCATCCCCCATTCTCATTCATCCTGTTCTATATATCTATCTATCCTTCTTCCCTCCTACGTACGATCTCTCCTCTCTCTTTCTATCTTATATACATAAATACACACTCTATGTCTCTCTCTCTCTCTCTCTCTTTCTCTTTCTATCTAGCTTTTTAAGTGGCTACAGTTTTCTCCCTCTCTTTCTCTCTCATTCTCATACAAATACATATATAAATATGTATTATCTATATCTTTCTTTCTGTCTTCGTCTTTCTATTTCTCTGTCTCTGTCTGTCTGTTTCTCTCTCTCTCTCTCTCTCTCTCTCTCTCTCTCTATGAATGCCTGAAGTGAGAAAATCAATTTTAAACGATTCTCTTTAATAATTCTCTTGTTTCCGTCGTCAGAATCGAAGTATTCAATCTCGATTAAACTTACGTAATTTTTTAATCACATTTCTATAATTTTCGATTGATCCATTTTCGAATATATTTTTGATATACATATATATATATATATATATATATACATATATATACAAAGAGAGAGATAGAGAGAGAGAGGGAGAGAGAGAGAATATATACGATCGATTTTGATTGATCTATTATATCAAATATTAATTTATAACAAATGATGATGATGATTATATTATTTAGATGTTATTACTGTTATTAATAATTCATTTATAATATATTTTATTATTATAAGATGTACGTGATTAAACTCCGATAATAATTATCAAAATTATTTTATAATAGTACACAGATACACACATACGTATACACGTAGAAATACATACATACATACATATATATATATATATATATATTACGCACTTACGTACGATCGTCGTCATTGAACTTACGGTTTTTTTTTTCCTTTTATTTTTCCAGGTCGAACGCACGACTCGACATACACCCTTTATAGATTGGGTGAAAGACTTTCGACGGGGGCGAGATTATACGTTGAAACTGGAAGGGCTGACGGTTTGGATGCCGGTGGTGAATCTCAAAACACCCTTCACTCTTTTACGGGACCGCCTATACCGCAGGGCGAGGGTACCAGCATTGCCAGAGCCTTTCTTGATGGAAACCATACTTTAATAAGCATCATGGCGAGGATCAATCCGAGTCCCGATTGGTTCGTTGGGGTTGATTCCTTTCAACTTTGCGTCGAAGGAAATTGGGTCGACACCGTAACCGTCGAGGTAACGATCACATCGATCCTTTTTATTTCATTTTATTTTTCTTCTTTTTCAATTTTAGTGTTTCTATGCCCCCTCTCCCCTCCCCCCAGCCCCCATATTAATTTCTAACTAGAAATATATAAAAAATTTTGTACTCTCATTTTTTTTGTTTTCTTTCTTTTTTTTTTTTTTTAATAAAAAAAATATTACTTGCAGTAATAATAATTTGTATCGTCGAAATTTTGAATCACAAAAATATTTGATATCGATATTTTCATACCAAAAAAAATTTCTTTTTCTTTTCTTTTCTTTTCTTTTATTTTTTTTTTTTTTTTTTTTTTTTTTAGAAATATTCGAACAATTTTGAAAATTAATCAACGCAATATATACACCGATAGATACAGTGAATTATAAAAGTTTGTGATTATTTAGAGATATGAATATCTTGTACGAAGAATATCTATAAAAAAAAAAATATATATATATATATATATATAAAAAGAAAATAAAGAAAATAAAAAAAGAATAAAAGAAAAGATTGCAGTTTGTTATATACTAGTAATAAAAAAAAAGAAAAGAAAAAAGATATAGAAAATAAGGATTTTCAAAGCTTTTTCCTATCGGAAAAAATATCTCGAAGTGCTACCAATGGTACATACATACATATATACATACATACATGCATACATACATACATACATACATACATACATACATACATACATACATACATACATACATACATACATACATACATACATACATACATACATACATACATACATACATACATACATACATACATACATACATACATACATACATACATACATACATACATACATACATACATACATACATACATACATACATACATACATACATACATACATACATAATATATACGTATATAATATAAAGAAAAAAAAAAAAAAAAAGAAAAAAAAAAAAAAAAATACGAGGTCACGTCGACGGGATCGTATCGTATATTAAATTTCTTGGAAAAAAAATTTGTCCGAGACAGAAAAAAAAGAAAAAGAGGAAAAAAAGAAAGAAAAAGAAAAAAAAGAAAAAAGGAAATAAAAGAAAGAAAGAGGAATATTGGAAAAAGATTCGGGAATTGAAGCTAAGGGTTGGTGATTTAAAGGACACTACCACCTCAAGAGAAATATGTTTGTCTTGTCAGAAAATCCACTCGAAGTGGTCCCTCGTCTCATTAAAATACGCAAAAGGCAACCATCGAAGTTTCCTTAGAAGAAGAAAGGAAAGAGAGTAGAGTACCTTTCAATCTATGTATGTGTCTGTGTCTGAATGTGAGTGGGTAGATGGATATATATATGTGTGTGTGTGTGTGTGTACGTGTGTACGTGTGTGCACGTATGTGTGTATACTTTTCTTTCTTTTTTTTCTTTCTACAGCTCGACCCTTTGGATGGTGGAACGGATAACGGGTTCACATTTACGGCTGC